AGTCTTGGCTTTGAAAAGCACAGTCACGACAGTTTGACAGCGAGCCAGCATGCAGAGTACCCTTAAAACAACAGAAGCTAAATGGATTCAGTCATCACTTATGTTGTTGTTTACACTTGTGCTGGTATAAATGTGACACGTGTCTTCAGTGTATTAAAGACAACCCTACAAAGCTAGCAAATAACTAGCCACGGAATATCTGCTAAAACTGCACTTTTATGTCATGAGAGACAACTAATAGCACTCAAAAAACACCAAAGCGTTACAATGAAGAACAGAAGTAGAAACAGAAGAAATACAGCTTGTTAAGTGTTTGCTGCTAACAGGCACATCCCAGACAATTCAACTCTGCAGCAGAGCTTGGTCATCTAGTTACTTCACATTTAAAGTTGTATGTGTTTACATGATTTATCTTCTTACTTAACACCTATTTGCACATACAAGTTCCACTTTAAATGAACCCTACCTCACTTAATTGTTTTCTTTTGTAATTCATGTTGCCAAAATGACCTGATTATTTATTCACTGAGTTTTAGAACTATAAAAGAAACATTATTGTTGTCAATCTGCCTTTTACTATAAGGGAGGTCCTCCATAAGAAACTTTATTTTGGTTATTTGAATTCAGATATGTCTGTCTGTGATGTCACATATTTTCACATGTTTTATGAGGCATTCATTAGTTTCTAATTTTGTTCGAAAACCTATCTCAGAATCAGTCAATTTGATCGCAGTTGTTTGGTCATGTTTGCTTATTTTGCCAGGCAATCTGATCAAACCACAGCGATACAGCTCTGATGAAGCAGATTAGCTGAGTGTTTGAGTGTAAAATTCGCAATAATGAATTTCTAATTATGTCGTTTACTGGTAATTAGCTTTGTGTGTTGCTTATATGCTCATTAATTCCACATTTGATGAAGAAATTGCACATTTTTCTGTAAGCCAAAGCTGTCAGACATTTTTCTGTAAGCCTTTCGCCAAATTCTGTAAATACAAAGCACCACAAGCTCAGACTGATTGAAATCTCCCTCTCTCATTCACACACAGCAGCAGTCTCTGGCACAGAATCAAAAGGGGTGTGCCGAACGTCTTATCTCTGACCATTCAACAAACTGTAAACGAATAGCTCTCCTTACAAGGTGAAACATAATCTGAGCTGGGCAATGTGCCTTATCAATCTGTCCTTTGTAACGAATAAAGCTCAAAAGTGTTTTTCCTTGTTTGTCCAGAACATTTTCTTTCCTAGTGACCGTCTTTCCTTATCTCTCTCTAATGTATTCCAAATCAGACTGCAGACTTGCCAACCTCTCTGAGGGTTAGAACGTAAAATATTAACCAGTATTGTGTGCATAACACCCATCAGTTTAAGGACACATGGTTCAATAACTGTAATAATAGGTCATTCATTCAAATCAGAACCAAGGTCATAAAAGAAGCACCTTCACTTTCAGGCTCACTCATTTCTAACACATTCAGTCCTTATGGCTGAAGGTCATTGTGTATCCCGCTCTATGGGGAGCTAATAAGCAAAGGAAGGGTGTGGGCCAGAATCCATCTCCATTACATTAAAGGAGCCTGGTCCCACAAAGTGACCTCTACTTGCTATGATTTATTGCTCGAACACAGTAAATGAACATCAAGCACAAAGGACAACCAGTTAATGAAATCATTGGCCCAACAGTTAAGTCAGTTCACAAGTGAATAGAGCTGTAATTGAATTGTAGAGAAGACACACATTCCTTGCAGTGCTGTTGTGGGGCAGCTTATATATCCTTTGTCAAACTTAGCATGGAGCTCTGTGTTTTTCATTTTAGAGGTTAGATGATTTGCTCAAATAAAACGCAACTTTATCAACCAGACACCAGAATCTCACAAAGGTCTTCATCAATCTTACATGTGTTTTCCAGCTCAAGATATGGACCGTTCATCCAAATAGATAAGAGAACCCTGAGTTATTGTCTACTAAAAAAGAGGGGGTAGGGGTCACTTGACTGTAATATTTCATCCGTTATATAATATTGCAGTAGAATTGAAAAGGACGGCATAGGTGGGGACTCAGGAGTGAACTCAGGACTGTTAGCAGGTCAGTTTCAGTCCAAATTGTGAACCACCATGCTATTTGAGAGGACCACCTCTTTGTGTTTTTTCCCTTCTGCAACCAGCTTGGTCCAGATTGTTGTTTTTTTCCCATTAAAGAGGAAAGGCATTACTCTTGTACTGGGTAAGAAGTAATTAAAAAAGGATGTATTCCATGCAGTCACTAGATGGCGCTCTTTGCTTGAACTGTTTTCCTCTGATCTTACTGCCTCTGGCATCGGGTCAACTGTTGACTGATGTGGTTCTTTCAATCCGCTTGACTCATGTTCTTCACATCCATCAAATGAGAAAGATCTTAATCACAAAAACACTGGAATTGCTTTGGATTTCAATAAAACCTTTAAAGAAAAAAGAGGGACCTTTTCATAATTTGAGAACTGATCCACTTGGGTTAAGCTTTAGCCTTTTATATACGTTTTAGGTTAGTAGAAAAGCTTTTAACTGGAAACATCCTTTTCCCCCTCACAATGGAGAGTGTAAAACATTACTTGATTCGAAATTGATTTAAATAGCATTTCCCCTAATGTAGCTATGACAAGCTAACAGGGCAAAGTAATTAACAGTTTGAATGCGGGGAAAGGTTGAAACGCAAGACCTGTACAAGACCCCCCTTGTTGCTGTGAAAGCCCCAGATCCCTATCATGGAAACGAGACCCCTTTCAGGTCCGGATGGGGGCACATCAGCCTCACAGAGGGAGAAGTCAATTGGTTTCAACTGGGGAAAGAAAAGGAGGAGGAAAGGAGAAGGAGAGAGAAGGAGGAATAAAAGACTTTGGCAAATTACCAAGAGGTGCAGGTGTCGGCCTAACAACAGGCTGCACCATGATCTGCACACTCTAGGCAAGTGTGGTTTGGCCTGAGCAGGACCTAGACTATGGGAAAACAAACCAAGCTTAAAATGGCTAACACACAGAGGGAAGGTCTGTTTGTGTGTGTGTGTGTGTGTGTGTGTGTGTGTGTGTGTGCGTGCGTGTGTGACACATTGTCCATTCATGCATTGGACGAATAGATCCTTTCACCATTCTTGTGAACATCAAGACAGGATTTAAGACACTTTGTGACTTTAAATTTGGTTAAATCCATCCTAAACTAAAGTAAAGCTATGTGAAGAAAGGAGCTACACTCCCTAAATAATAGATTCTTAAAGCGACAAAATTGGAAACTCATACACGGCATCCAAGTCCGGAGTCTAAACAGAGAAAACAAATGTCTTATGTTTAATTTAACTGACGTATCTCATAAATCATCTATTGAATACTTAATTCCTCCGGTAAAGCTTTTGATCCCGGTGAAAGTGATTTATATTCTGTAACATTTAGAATAGAATAGAATAGAATAGAATTGGGAGGGATGAAACCCTCTTTAATGGTCACACATGCAGAGCACACAGCACACACAGTGAAATTTGGCCTCTGCATTTAACATATTGACATACACAGTTGACATATACATTGACATTGACATATACAGTTGATGCCTATTTGCTGACTTGTTGCAATTTGAGCACACAATTAAGTTAACACATTATTACATTTCCATTACATTTGGGTGTTTATTGCACACGTTTATTACTTTTTTTTGGTTAATAATAGAATCCAGCAGCCTTATGTTATCTTCACATACAGGCTAAAGGTCGTTCAGTTCATGAACATGTGACAGTGTGTTTATGTAACTTTTTTATGTAATTTTAATTACATAATTATAGATATGTTCAGACACCCCTAGAGGGTGAAGTTAACCTAACTGACAGGTTAAGGTGAGCTTTTCACAGGGTACACACACACACACACACACACACACACACACACACACACACACACACACACACACACACACACACACACACACACACACACACACACAGACACACCCCTTGCTTTCAAGTGAATTATTTTGAAGTGGTTACACCTATAGATATCCTTAATTACTCTGAATTATTGCTGCTTTTCTACACTTAAAACTTTTTTAAGTGTAGAAAAGCAACTCGGACATAAATGTTCAGGTTACACGTTTAACTTACTTACCTGTATATTTCACCCTGGCCACGTGGCACAGAGTACATACTGATTATATAGTTCTATACATTGCAATTGTATATATCCCCATAGGCAAATCGCAGCAGACACATGACAGCTAACAGCGGTTAGCATTGAAGGCTGCGTCAAGCTAACTGGAGACGATGCCACCAACACCGGAAGTAAGGAGCAATAAAGTATGTTTATTTTTGTGTGTGAAAGTTAGTATGAGAAACCAGTAAGAGGAAGTAATAAACTAATGTTAACAAAACCACAGTCAAAATACATTTAATTCTTTATATTTTAAACAAGTAAGTTTGGGAAGATCGAGATTGCATAAAATACCCTAAGCACTCAAAATAGTAGCCTATTTATTGTCTACTTCATTTACAATGTCAATATGTTTCTGTTTCTGTAATATATTTGCTGTTGCCTAGTGAAACTGTTTATTGTAGAGTATTCACATTTATTCAGTATTTTCTTCATATTGTGTATTGTTTAGATACTTTAGTGATATGTGAATGTTCTACTGTAAATTTGTATATTTGCTGTTAATGTTAATTTGTATTTGTATTATACGTTTATCTCGTTCTATCTTTTGAATATGTTGAACTCCTGTGTCACGATCATAGACTGTGGTCACGATGAAATCATATACACTGATCTATGATACTGATACATTGTGATACAGACTTACACTTTTTTATACATTTATAAAAAGCACATGCTTACACTTTCTTTACCGTGTTATTATTTCATATACACATTTTATTTATTGAATTACCAGAAAACATGTATATCATTTTTCCTGATTGAAGATTTGTTTTATTCTTTTATTTTGAAAAGTCTTACCGGAAGCTCTATTGTAAGCATGGCTGCTTTGCCCCAGGTCAGAAGCCCAACGTGGAGGAGAGGATGTGGGTATGCTGACATCTGCAAGCCAGAGGTTTGACTGGAGACACCGCAGGCAGGCGTACAAACAACGGCCTTAGCAACTTCAAGAAACTCCGAGACATGTAACTTGTTTTTGAAGGTAAACTCTAACAAGATTACTTCGTTCCTATCTAACTATAAATGCGCGTTTGCAACTGTCGTGTACATTGTGTTCAAAGTGTTGTCGATAACTTCCTTGCTTGTTTACCGGTAAAGTCACTCAATAGTCGGTGCTGTGGTTTGTCAACGACGTAAATTCTGACGTAAAGCTCCAAAATGTCACTTTGAAGCTTCTTATAATTGTTTTTCGTAGATGCCAGTTTAAAAATTGAGATTAGTCTTTCTTTTGAGCCACGACTGCTCTAATCTATACACACAATGTGACGTTGATTGAGAGCTTTCCTTCTGTCTGCAGACTATACATCAGATTGTAATCCTAATATTGGTTTAATGTGACAGGCGAGGAGACCTGTTGCTAAAGTGTGTTTTGACTGCAGCTATACTGGTGACAGCGACTGGCTACTTGCCTCTTTAATCTCTTCTTTTCATCCTAACACCTGTGACACCTCTTTCTCCAAAAAGATAACAGTTAGATCACCAGATAAAGAGGCTTTAGGCTGACATCTGATTAAATATGGGGGGCATTGAGTTTTACTTTTGCTTTCAAATGCAGCATTTCTTATCATCCAATCTGCTCAATTCAAGCAAGATAAGCAAATGTGTCTGTTTGGATTTATTTGGATGTGTGTCTGACACATAGTGATGGAAAAATCTCTGTTCAGCTTTTAGCCTTTCATCCTGCATCACAGCCTGGCTCCTTTAACACAGTTTCTGTCAGTATTGTATACACAGAGTGTAAGCAGCAAAGAGATGTTTGTGTTGTTGAGAGGAATCGTGGATCCTCTCTTATGGGTCTTTTACAAACTGAAAAGGGCCAACCGGTTAATGGGGGGGGCGTGTTGGTTTACTGTTTGTGTAACCTGTTCCTCTGGTGCTGCTTGGATATTTGTCTTCCTCTCTTGACTGGCTGATGAGGAAATTAGCCATGTATTGTACAGTATGCTGCTTATTCCACATGAACCATGGAGAGCACTGGAGTCTCCTTCATGTACCACATAGTTCACCTGACATCTGAGAATCCAGTGACTCACACATCAAGCCTGGTGTGTTTCTTGTGTATAACTGTAACATAAATTGTTGACCCATCTTTTTCATCGCTCTCTTTTTAAGGACTTGTTAGCGTGATATATTTGAAAAGATTGCAGCTTGGGAAGCAAATGCAAATCATATCCATTACCCAGGTTTTTTTTTTTTGGGCGGGCCGTATTTAAGCTGCATTTTTAGGCCTCTGTCCGCTACGGCTCGTTACAAACGGCTGCCCAGTAAGGCTATCAGATTCAGAAAGAGTGGAAGGTGTGATGGATAGCCAATAAAAGGGTTTTTTGTCTGACTGCGTCTCCATTTTGTAACCTCAGGACTCCCGAGTGCGTTGGCCGAGGCCCAGATTGGAGTGAAAGGGCTGTGCTGCTGCCTTGAAGGACTCTCAGTGGAAATTGAGTTTCCTCTGACTCTGTCTGTACCATATATGTTCTCCCACACAGACCGTTGCACACACATCTTTATGTGACAGGGTTTTCTCTATTAAGTCACTGTTCCTAGGAATAACCATTGTTTGTCAGAATTAGGAAATCATTGTGCGCTGGTGTGAGGAAGGGAACGCACTGTTGTTGTTTGTGTGTAAGAGTGCGTGTGCCTTTCAGTATTGCTGCTAAGCCTTTCTGGCACTGGCTGGCCCTACTGTAAATGGCACCTTGCTCTAATATTAATGCAACACAATTATGTGATTACATTCGGGTCGGTGTCAACATAGCTAAGTGGTCTGTTTTTCCCGCGGCCCTCTTTATGCCCCGGCGTGCTAAGCCGATCTGTCAGACACAAATGTCGACACTGCCTAATTTGTGCACCTGCAGTACCAATCTAAATCCTATTTCAAAATCAGCTGGTCCATCCTTGTGCACATTTTTTAACCCAGATTCATTGGCCCACTGCTTTTTTTGAGTCTCATTGGAAGGGAAATGAAATCCTAAAATCAGGAATTGTTCAAACTGCTGATTCTTAATCGAAATTCTAGGCTAATTTCGATTTAAAGATATTGTGCAAGAGCTGTGAATGCCATTTAATAGGTTGTGGGTACTAGGAACATTGTATAATGACTGGAAATGTGATTCCTCACTGCACCAGGGAATATTTTAGCTGTTGCTGTTTTCTTGGTTATGGTGCAGAAGCAGAAGTGTGAACTGGCTAATTGGAAAATTCACATGATATTTGAAAACTGTGTAAATGTGCAACATCACAACAGCGCAGTTTGGCAGAAACGAAGGAAATATTGAAACACTTATAGCCACTTATTGCCAGATTGGAAAAAAAATGTTTGTGATAAAGTATCAATCCATTTTCAGCAATAGTTTACATTTCACATTCAACTCAAAGTAGTGCTATGATGTTGGATCTTACAGGGACTGTGAGAAATACAAATGCAGACCCCACTGTATTGATTGCATTTAAAAAGTAAAGTTTATTTTCTCTACTCTACTGCTACTATATATCACCTCGCTTGGAGTATCACAAAATATCAACATGGAATGATCATAACCACTGTATCATGTCACGTACCAGATTATTGCCAATGCACAGCCCTGAGTAAAAACCTACATATTAAAGATCACTTTGTCCAATGGCACTTAAACGGCACCGCTGTAATGAGAGTATATGCATCACAGACTTAATTTATTCAGCACATTACTGTACTGTAAACTCTAATTTAGCTTCTTCCATCTTTGCAATTTGTATTTGATGAGCATCTTAATGCAGCCCTGAGCAGGCGATTACATTTATGATGTTGCTGTTGATTACCCCTGGTCTGCTCTATTGGAGCCGTGTCCTTGGGGGCATTCACAAATTTAGAAGCAAGCACTAACTTACTTGGGTGTAACTTCACTTGATTGTGAATGTGTTGTAATGCGGTGAGCTGTGATTAAAGAGTTCAATCTTGTAAATCTCCTCCTGTCAGTGGTAGCTTCTTGGTGCCTTGGTTTGATGTTTCTCACAAGTCTACACTTTCCTGTCCCTTCTGTTTCTTACATGTTGTATAAAAACCTTAATAATCATTATTTATTTGATTCTTTCTGTCCTCCAGAGGCTTGTGTCCTGTGGGGCACCCTGAAGCTCAGCCAGTCACGCTGCCAGGCTTCTCGTCATGAGGGGGCGTTGCTCTCGAAAACTTGGCGTGCTGGCCAAGGCATGTTTGCTGCTCTGGGTGCTGTGGCTGGGCTACATTCTGTTAGCAGGCTCCTCGTTCCCCTCCTCTTCCACTGTAGAGGAAGAAGAAGATGAAGAAGGCCGCAATGTTCGGGCGAAACAGCGGTCCTTGGATGAGGCCGCGGCTGATGGTCAGCTGGCTAGGCCCTTCTACAATAAACCAGCACCAGACAGCAACGCGCTGGGGGAGTGGGGGCGGGCCACACACCTCAACCTCAGCCCCGAGGAGAAGAAACTTGAGCAGGACAGTGTGGAGCGATATGCCATCAATATCTACGTCAGTGATAAGATCTCCCTCCACCGGCACATCCAGGACCACAGGATGAATGAGTGAGTACGGCAAAAAGGCCTCTTAGTCAGAAAGTGAGCCTAAGTTGACTAATGTTTCTCAAGAAAATCCCTAATTAATCTTTTATTGCTTCTTATTTCCTTTGAGGTCCTAGCCAACATGTATGTGTATCTCTGTCCTGCATGCAGCTGATAGCTATGCTGCAGTTGTGTCAGGGATAAATTACTCAATAGAGATTAAGTTGAGCTCGTTACTGGGATCAGTTTTCCCCTGACAGTCAAACACAAGGATGAAAGCTCTCTGGATGCATTGCAGGGCTTATTGAAGCTGGTAAGCAGCAGCTCCCTGGCTGAATTGATTTATTCCATCCCGAGTTGTTGTCCGCAGCTATTCTCAGCCTCTGTGATGACACACAAAGTATGATGAATGTTATTAATAGTTTATCTTTCCATGTTTCCCTCTATCCCTAAAACTAGAGGCACAGAGATATTAATCTTGCCCTGGTGACACTGGAATAAACCATTTTACCAGCAAGATGCCTGCATATCCAATAGTAGACTAATAAGATGCTGAGGAAACTGCCAGGAAGGTTGAAAGTCAAGTATTACTGCTGATTTGTATTCCATATTTTATTCCTTCTATTCCATTCCATTGCAATGTAAATACTGTTATATTTTATTTTACTATATTTTTAATTATTTTAAATATTTTTCTAGTTCTCTACCTGTGTTTTTAATTCTTGTTTCTTATGCACCACGACACCAAGTCAAATTCCTCGTACGTGTAAACCTACCTGGTAATAAACCTGTTTCTGCAAAGATAGTGTTCAAACAAGAAAGTCCTCCTGCAAAACCACATTCTGTTTTAGCCCTTTGTGGAGACCAGATTCCCTGCATTGCACAAACGGTCACTTTTATGACAGTGCATGACGGGAATTTGCGCTGGCAGAGTGACATTTTTGACAAGTGCACAACTGAATAGACACAGTGAGGAAGGAGTAAGCAGAGATGAAGTGGTGTGCTGTTTTAGTTTCATGTTCCTCATGTGCTTCACTGCCTGCCTATACCATGACAGAGTTACAAGGGAAGTAATACTAATGCTATTTTTGCATGAACACATTTTACTTGTAAGGCAAGGCAAGGCAAGGCAAGGCAAGGCAAGGCAAGGCAAGGCAAGGCAAGGCCTTCAAGGCAAGGCAAGGCAAGGCAAACTTGCTTGTAAACTTATAGACTGGTTCTGTGACATGTTTTATAATGATCTAAGTAACTATTAATTAGCCGAGAACTGCCAGTCTGTCATTACGGGCTATTATACAAGGAGTGGGATTTGTGGAGTGCCTCCTTCACATGCATCTGTTAATGGAGGGTGAATCCGTCGCTTTGGACAGCTCTTTCTCTCCACTATGAAACATGAACAGTTTGCTTTGTTAAAGAAAGGGAAACGGCTTATTTGATTGGTTGTAACTGGTGCTACAGAATTACAATGTTGTTCTATTCCTGGCTAACTTCCAACAGTGTCATCATCGTGGGTTTAGCCCGTGGCTACAAAATGATAAGAAGTCATTCAACCTGTGCCAGTACTTAAACTGTTCTACCCCACTGACTCATAACAATAGAGTTCTCTAGTAACACAGTATTCTTTTCTGTATTTCATGCCTTTTTTTTTGTATTCCTTCAAGTTATAAGTTTACAGTACTTTTGTGTTACCCCTGTCCCCTCTCTCTGTTCTGCTCCCCTCGTCTCTGTTTGTTCAACTTTCTGTAGTCTCTCTCAGAGCACTGCTGTGGTATGTTGCTCACTGGTGCGATACCCTCCCCACCCCCATCCATATTTTTCGGCTCTTTATTGTTTTAATGACTGCCATCTGGATTAAGACCAGATACCTCCCCCTGCTACAGTAACTGCTGTGGCCGCTCTGGCCATATGAGAAAATCATTTGACTTCCTTTAGCATGCTGTCCTTTTCTTATAAATATGTACATGTTGCTTATGTCAACTGTGTGTGTCTCCTCCCTCACGCCACCCACACACACATGAACATACCTCAGATGCCGAAGTAAGAAGTTTGACTACCGGCGATTACCCACCACCTCTGTGATCATCGCCTTCTACAACGAGGCGTGGTCCACCCTGCTGAGGACCATTCACAGCGTCCTGGAGACCACGCCCGCCATCCTGTTGAAGGAGATCATCCTCATCGATGACTACAGTGACCGAGGTCTGACACTCTCTACACACAACAATACAACTGACAGAAAAAAAGTGTTTAAAGAGGACTGAGAGCCTTGGCCTAGTTTAGTAAAGCTAACAAAATAAGCCTCAGTTTTTCTTTGATTTCTTCACATTCACAACGTGGAAGAGAACAGGGCAAGCAGGACTGTTATAAATAATGAAAAGATGCATATCAATGGAGCAATGCATACTAATACATAATGCCTCTGGATGTATTCTGAAAACAATTAGAAAAACAAGCTCTGAAACTAATTTGTGCACATTCTTTTAATGATGAAATAAGGTGTAGCGGTATTTTAAGGCATGCTTGAAGTGGATTGCTTTGTTATTGAAAAGATGCAAGGTTAATAAATGCAGGTTTTTTTTCTAAAACTGCTGCAATCATTACTATAAAAGCTAAGTAACTACAAATGATTCAGCTCATTCCAAGTCAGTCTCCCTGCTTCCCTGCTCAAGCATTTGCTGTCTCATTCTTGGTGTGTGTGTCTTTTGTATGCTCTCTTCTCCAGACCATGAAGCGTGTCTATTGGGGAAGGAAGTGTATATGACAACTCAAAGGTTGACTGACCAGTTTTTCTGAACTTTCGACCCTATCTCATGGTGTCCACCAGCAAACCTTGTGATTGATACTTCATCTCAGAAACTAGATATAGTAGTAGCTTGATTTCTGCCTGTCCTAATGGTATTAGTATTCGGTCCCAGCTAGTCTAGTCTGTGTGTATCCAAGACATTACACCATAATAATGACTTCAGTCTGCACTGAGCTGCCATGACATCATTTCCTCTCCTCTGACCACCCTGACCAAATGGAACGCCCGACATGCCACTCCCCGACCAGAAGGCTTTCTACAGACAGACAGACAGGCGGACAGACAGACAGACAGACAGACAGGCAGGCAGGTGGGCAGGCAGGCGGACAGACGGACGGACGGACAGACAGACGGACGGACAGACAGACGGCAGGCAGGCGGACGGACGGACGGACGGACGGACAGGCAGGCGGACAGACGGACAGACGGACAGGCAGACAGGCAGACAGACAGGCAGACAGGCAGACAGGCAGACAGGCAGGCAGACAGGCAGACAGGCAGACAGGCAGGCAGGCAGGCAGGCAGGCAGGCAGGCGGACAGACAGACAGACAGACAGAAAGACAGGCAGACAGACAGACAGACAGACAGACAGACAGACAGACAGGCAGACAGACAGGCAGCAGGGATTGAGAGACAGAGTGATTGACAGACAGACAGCTTCCTTTCAGCTTTTGTGTTTTACCTTTATTAACCACAAATATACTTCCAGTCAGCTTCAGTTTTTATGTACGATTTTGAGATACTTTTAACAATATCGGTATAGTATTTTCCTTCCTAATACTACAATTCCGAGGCATATAATATTGTTCTTTTTACTCAATAATGTTTATCTGCCGACTTTAGTTACTTTGAAGATTCAGATTTAGACAAATGATACTAAATATAATCAACAAAAAAGGATCATCTGTTATTGCGGGCTTCCTTTTATGATCCCAGGGGGAAATTCACGGAAAACATATAGCTTGACTATAAGCTCCGGCATTAACAACTGTAACATTTAAATGAAAAGCAAATTGATGCATCAATAATACAAAATAAATTGATGTAAATACTTTTATACTCTTACTTCATGAACATTTTGAAAGCAGTAATATTTATCTAGTAAAACACATCTGAATACTTTGTAAGACAGGGAATCAACATACGTTTAATGTTAAAAATATTGATCGTGTGTGTGTATTTGTTGTGAAAAATAGTGTACCTGAAATCCCAACTGGCCCAACACATCAGTGAAGTGAATCACGTGCGGCTCATTCGCACCAAGAAGAGGGAGGGTCTTGTGCGGGCTCGTCTCATCGGGGCCACCTACGCTACGGGTGACGTGCTGACATTTCTCGATTGCCACTGTGAGTGCGTCCCTGGCTGGATTGAGCCTCTGCTTGAAAGGTGGGTTCATCAGACTAGTAAAAGCTTTGTGAAGATCTTTTGTATTGGAGGAACCTGAATAGAAATCAAATGTAAATGCTAAACCAATGTTACCTGCTCGCTGAATGTAATTTGCAATGCTTTGTGTTTAGGATTGCTGAGAATGCCAGTACCATCGTGTGCCCTGTGATCGACACCATTGACTGGAACACATTTGAGTTTTACATGCAAACAGACGAGCCAATGATCGGAGGCTTCGACTGGAGACTCACCTTTCAGTGGCACTCGGTCCCTGAAGTGGAACGCAAGAGGCGAAAGTCTCGCATAGACCCCATCAAGTATGATACTTCACAACAACTTCAAGCATGGGAGATGACTTTATCAGATTGGCACGTACCAGTGTAGCTCTTAAAGATGTAATACACCTCTGCTAATACACGTGTTGTATTACTTACTTTCTATATTTCCACTCACATTACACCCAGAGAATGTTTGAATGTGTATTGGAACCCTGGGTTCAATAAACCACCTCAGGTATCTATTAAAATGTGTTGATTTTAAAAAGCCCATACTGAAACATGTGGTGCATCCCAATCCATAAGAAAATGTAAATCAAACAATTCATAACTTAAGATAAGATGGAACTTTATTGGTCCCCGCAGGGAGATTCAGGTTTTATAGCAGCAGAATAAGAGATAAACACATATAGTACACATGAATATATACATGTAGTAACAGTATGATTAGAAATAACACAAGTTTAACTCTAATCAGGTACATTTATACAGATATGTGAAAAAGGTTAAATATATATACATTTAAATGGGCAGGTACCAGTGCAGGTAAAAGTCGTATGTGCAACTTTCTGTGAACAATACAGTTATTCTTCCTCGAGTTAAAGCTGCTACTTTTAGAGAGAACACTTCACACAATGTGTAGTTTTGAGGGAAGGCATACCTGAAGTGATCTCTGTGTGTTGAAGGGTTCAAGTCTGCTGCACTTCATGTGGTCTGTTGTGCTTGGATCACACCCAACTGTAATGCTGATTTTGAAAGTTTGCATTGCATTGTACAGGGTGTTAGCAGGATGATTATTAGCTTAGGTAAAGCTACTATTCAAAGGCTTTAATAAGGCACTTCTTATCTTCTTAATGCAGCATTAGGTATTAGACCGTTGAGAAACCACATTTGCATTGGATTAAAAAAGGAGGATGGGTATTGGAACGGATGAAAATAACTATCATAACATTGCATTATTTTCACTGTTTCTCCCAGGTCTCCAACAATGGCAGGTGGATTATTTGCTGTGAGCAAAGCCTACTTTGAGCATCTGGGCACGTATGACATGGGCATGGAGGTGTGGGGGGGAGAAAACCTGGAGCTCTCCTTCAGGGTGAGTCCAGCTCTCCTTCAGTGACCACAGAGTCCCTGTTTTACAATTACAAAGCCGCTCAGCAATATGAGACCTGAGTACGGCCTTTAAAAAATGTTGACAAAGAGTGACTCATCTCATTTTGCACTGTTACAAAAACCTCTCTGACAGTACATCCATTGACTAAGATTCTTTGTTGTTGAGGTGAAGAGCAGACATCCATGAGGTTGATTGACATTTCATTTCACAAAGAGAATCCTTTTTTCATAGTCTATGCCACAGATCCTTTGATTCATCCATCTCACAGCTGTCAGCCAGTGGGTATTTGGTGTGAGTGGGACACATGTCAGTGTCAGGTCTCAGTCAGCCACGGCACCTGAAACTGCACCCTGATATTGGCTGTTGTTGTGACGTTGGTGTCGCTTTTCACTTGTTTGCGTCAATCAAACTGGCCCAGATTTTAGGATATGTGTGAGCTTGTAGCAGGAGCATGCAAAGATAGGTAGGTAGATTCCTGGTGCATGATTTATAGTGTGTGTGGTTTCAGTGTGAAGACGGATGGGTTGTTCCCCTGAGTGATGTGTTTATGCATGTGGATATAAAAATGCCTCTCGCTGGGACTTTTTGCTATACATAATTTATTTTTTAGTGAATTGCTTTTCAACCCAGAGTGCTAAAACAAATATGGTGCAAGGTAAAGCGCCAAGTGAATAAAGACAGTAGAGACTCTCATGTACAGCTGCTTGGCCGTGGATATATGATTATAATTTAGCTTTGTGTGAAAGGAACATAGCTCAGCCAAGTATTAGAAAATACCGTTTTAACAACCTTTCAATCTTTTGTTTTTCTATGTTGAAATATGAAGCAATTATACAATGCAAATGTATCCTATACATCCAAGCTGCTTTAAAATGGGCAAAGGGTTGGATTTATGTTGCCAGGTTGAAGTTAAAGAGCTGTGTTTATCATTTTCAGCATTGCATCTGTCACAAAATCAACACCCGTCAAGCAGACTTATTGAAAATGTGGTGTTACTTTCAAGTCTCTTTCTCTTTGCGTGTATTTAAATGGTCCAACTAATGACACTGAACGTTTTTGAGCTGACTGCTTGAGATCCCACAGTAACTTCAGTTCACAAGAATTTAAGTTACACATCACAAAGCACATGGAAGTTCTTGATGTTCTTCTTCCCTGCTGTTTTTTTTAACGCACATAAATACAGTCAATAACCAAGCTGTCCTGGGCCTTACTAATACATCTACTCACAGTCAAATGAAACGAACATAGTACATTTTCGACAATTCACGTGCGTCTCTTGCAAACTGTTACATTTGATGGCAAAGTGGGAGTCTAGTTTTGCACTTCATGTCTGGCTTCAAACAACAGATGCCTCAGTTCTTTAATACTCATTATGGGTCACACATCTTTGAGTTGAGTTTTCAAGTCACCCTGACCCAGTCAACCCATTGTTTTGGCTATACCACAAATTGTAATCCTTTGAAAATGAAATAAGTTTACTTTAGCCGTTAAACAGCCCTTAAATCATCAGCTTTCGTCCATGTTCCCCTAACATGAGGAACCTCTGACTGAGTCAACAGGACACACATTGATCTTCTGCTCGACACCTGTCCTCATAAATCTCACAGAAGCGCCTATCAGTTCTGGCCTGCCCTTTGTGCCTCTATTATGAGCTCAGTCGCTACACCCTGATTTGTGCCTTTTATCCACATCCGTGTTCTCAGATCCATATATAGATGGCGCTCCTTTTAACTTCTCTGGGCTTAATATATCATACTGCAGAGTTACAGGTTAAAGTTATACACATCATTCTCTATCTGTGGATGTAGACCCACCACAGGAATATATTTCTTTAACTGCTTGGGTATTGTTATTGATTTCCCTCTAAAATGATATTATGAGTTTTTCCTTTAACCATTTTGGAGTGGTTATTTTACCTACTTCACAAATTCTCTATACTATTATCATTAAAAAGCTACTTGCAAACCACCTGGTAAATATTGTCAGGTAGGTCAAACTTGAATGACAAAGTAATAAACACTACTCGTAAATTGAAGTGCCAAAGTTCACCAGTTGTTGTGTCACACATCCTTTTATCTCACCGAGTACAATACTTCCTGGTTAATGATCACCATATCCAGTTATATGTAACTGCTGATTTGTATTATACTACGTGACTATCTACATGATTCTAAGAGCCCATATTGAAAGGTCAATGCATAAAATATATGCTAGTATATCCTTTAGTGTTCGCTATTGACATCCATATTATTCTCTCATTATTTAACTTTGTAGTGGCTATATAAATATGAGCTCCCTTCTAGGGTTTGGTTATCTGCTTAAGGATGCTATTAACCACAAAATGACAGAACTTGTTTCCCAAGTTTTAAGTGTTCAAAATAAATGAATGGTTTCCTGTGTTAAACCCCCTCAGGTGTGGATGTGTGGAGGCAGCCTGGAGATTCACCCCTGCTCTCATGTGGGCCATGTGTTCCCTAAGAAGGCCCCCTATGCACGGCCCAACTTCCTCCAGAATACCGTACGAGCCGCAGAAGTTTGGATGGACTCTTATAAACAACACTTCTACAACAGGAATCCCCCTGCCAAAAAGGTAAGACAGTTACAAATGAACCGACACAAGTTTTTAAACAGTGTGTCTAGCTGGGCCTGCTGCTGTGAGAAGCTTTAAGATTCCTCGCTGAATCATCATCGTACAAATAGATTTTCTCGGTGCTAAGCTCGTTTATAAAAGGCTTGTTTTTCATTCAACTGTGACTAAATCGTAGCTCTAGCAGCGTCATGTTAATATTGCTAATGTTGATGTTAGGTTTAGAGGTTTTACTATGTTAACATTCATCTGTCTGGATCTCACCCTAATGAACACTGTCTGTGTGAGAGGGCCTGCATGAGAGTGCATGTGGTTCGTCTGCCTTGTACCTCTCAGGTTCTGAGTATTGGGCACCATCAAAAATGCATGTATCTCAGTTTCACCTATCTGAAAAAAGTACATTATTAATGCTGGGGATCTTTGATCAAACAATAAATTACCTGTTCAGGGGGAGATTGTACAGAGCTCTGCCAGAGCACATCAACAGCTTCAAGTACATTAGGCTGTTCTCATAATATATTAACAGACTGCAGAGCTACAGTAAATAATATTGTTTTTGGAATAAAACTAGTTTCCCTATTAACAAGTGATTATGCTTAAGTTGTGCCTATGTGCCTTAGATGTTCACATTTGCTTTTGTATGTTTTCTTTTCATGCCACCAACCTGCCACAGACTGTAATGGACTCAAGTGCTCATCTTTATTAATGCCTCTTCCTAAATAAATATACATAAATTGGTATACCATTTTATAAAAATGAAAACAAGAAAGATGTTCTAACAGATTGAAGACCACCTCACTGTGTCTTCCATCTGTTATTATCGTAATTATAGTAGGTCCTAAATTATTACACCTGCATGTTATTCTTAAGCTAACACAACATTCATTTTAATGAATATTTAAAGCCCTGGATTTTGAGATAAATTGTAAAATGATTTAACTGTAAATGTAATTGAAAAAAAATATTAAAATCCTAAATTATTGATTTAATTTTATGTAGTGTATTTTGAGAACCGCAATCCTCCAGCGTGTGTGTGAAATGTGTGTGAATGATGTGGACTTTGAACGTTATTGAGTTAACAACCTTAGCAAACAAAGCTATCTGTTGAATTGATATCATATGCTACCAATACCCTGCTATTTGTTTACCGGGTCCGATTAGTCAAGTAAATATTTACCTTTATGGTGTGACTGTTTAATTTTACTAGCTTCAAATACATAAGAAAATGTCCCATTAGCAACAAAGAATATTGTGGATATTATAATGAATAAATACATAACACTTTGGGATGCCAGTGTGAGATGAATGTTCTGTTGTGTGTTCTCTTCCCAGGAGACCTATGGGGATATCTCGGAGCGGCTGCTGCTGAGAGAGAGGCTGAAATGCCAAAGTTTTGAATGGTATTTGAAAAATATCTACCCTGAACTACACGTACCTGGGGACAGAGGGGGCTGGCATGGTGCTGTGAGTGTTTGCCTTCTTATCTGAATTCCTTTATTTGTCCTGTTGCAATCAAAGAGCTGCATCAGTGTTTCATTGACAATCACCACACATCTTGTGCTGACTTGTCCCAGCCTAGTTACAGAGAAATGGCATTGCAGTTAAGTCTTGCTTTCTAAATTCCTTTTTTTTTTAAATGTCTAAAACTGAGTTATGCTGGGGCGGGATGTGTGAAAATCCTGTTTAAAGTGAGAAAGCTGGACTTAGACAAACAAAGGCTTTGAAATCCATTTGGACTGGGATCAAGAACATAACAATCCGGACACCTGGTGGAGTATAAAATGCTTTGCACGTTAGTCTCGGTTGGCTTAATGTTAGGTTTTAAAATGATTAATGAAGAAAAAAGGATTGCTAAGGCCTTAAAGGGATAGTTCTGCATTTTTGAAGAGGGGTTGCATGAGGTCTATAGTCAGTAGACACGCACTGGATTTGGAGAAACAGACAGGAGTACCAACACTAAAGCTAAGCAATGTACCGCTGAGGTAAGGGGCAGCAGCACATGTATTTCTGCTGCTTCGATCCGTTAGTTAGTTATTGTGTGTCTTTTGTGGTTCAAAGGGTTCGTTTGGAATCACCTAAGTCACACCATAGCACAAACTAACTGGTTGATGCATGAGTTTTGCTAGGTAAAATAGCAACTTTTTAGCAAAGGACTCTGTTGGCTTTAAAAAGAGCATAGATTGATAAGATAAGATGGACCTTGATTAATCACCATGGGGAAATTCAGGAGTTTAAAGCAGCAACAGAGTGAGAGTGCAAAACATGACGGTACAGATTCACACAAGGATAATCAAATACAAAATGTAAATGATATAAGTAACTGTTAGAACAAGATATCGCAACAAGGTAAAACTTGATATTACTTTAGTTCCCTATTGGAAAAGGCGAGGAAAATATTCTAAATACAGTGTACTGTACACTAAAACCAATATTGATTATATTTAGGAGCCTTAGAAATAGTTTTGCTGATGCCCACGTCCGCAGCAAACTGAGGGTGTAACAGCCGTCATCTACTGTAGGTAATACACTGACTATAACACCTCCTTCAAACCCACTTCAAAAATCCCAACTATCCCTTGAACATCCAAAAATCACCTTCAACAGCTGTTAAGTCACACGCTATCTGTTATCAGGGCATTGCCCAAACATCTGGAAGGTTATAATGATCAAAGATCTGTATGCACGCTTATAGTACCAAATACATGGACACATAACCGGAATATATCGAATTTTCAAATAAATAGCATTTTGATAGAAAAGTAAGGATAAGGGTTTAAATTGCTTTATAGGTATGTCATAATGTGGAAAATAAGCAAAGTCTGTTTTAATCAGAGGACTGAGTCTCCCAGACGCAGTGTTGCTGTACTGTATGTGAACATTATAGTCTGACTGTAAAGAAATAAAAGCAACAATAGAAACTCCCTCACAGAAATCAATGAAGCACTTCATTTTATTATTGTATTGACTGTTATTGTTCTCTTCCCGCCAGGTGCGTAGCTTAGGGATTCACTCTGAGTGTCTTGACTACAACTCCCCAGAGCACAGTCCCACAGGCGCCCACCTCTCTCTGTTCGGCTGCCACGGACAGGGAGGCAACCAGGTAGGTCAAACATTTCACACTTTCTTTATTCTGTCTTTCTACCTCGCTCAAGTGCACATATTCTCTCTTGTCACAATCTCCCAACCTCTCTTGGCCCAGTGGGAGATGTATCTTGAAATGTCAACCCTCTCTGCTAACCCCTAAACAAGCTGCCACAGTTGATTCACAACAAGAAATGGCTCTCTGCTGGAGAGCATGACTTGAATTGAATAAAGGTCCAACTAAGTTTGGAATTGTATCCACGTATAAAATATTGTTCAATTAAATCACAGGTACTTTTAAACTGAATGCCTGCCAACTGCAGTGATGGATGGGTTAGCAACCAGAAGATTGTTTGTCTGTGAAGATGTATTTTTAATGTTGGAGTCAGACAACAGGCAGAGCTCCTTTTATGTGAATCTCCAACCTGCTCGATATCTCTGATTACCACTGATGCACTGCATCAGGTGTCTCAGACACAAAAGCACCATGTGTGACTGAAAATCAATGTTTGTATGGCTCCCCGCTGAAACAAAAACCTTGAAAGGCCCTTCACCCCCCTCACCCCCTCACCCCCTCCCTCCTACTCCTCCATCCCTGGCACACATAAGTACCAGGTTCCATTTAAAAGATACATGAGCCTCGCCGCTGAATGAACGGCACAGCCTGGGTAAATAATTTTAAAGCCAGCCACAAGGGCCTTGAGTCTTTTATTAGAAACTACCATTATGGACCCCAATGCACCTGAAAGATGTATGAGATGATAAGAGAAGGAAGGGTAAGGATGAAGATTGATTACCTGAGCCTCCGTTTAATGGGTAGCCCAGGCAGTGCTGCAGCTTTTGTCTCTATTGGCTGTGATGTTGAGCTGACACCAGAGAGGGACGAGCTGGTTTGTGTTCACGTCTGGTTGATTGAGAGGGCCGCGGCCCTGTCTGTACTGATGAGACCCCTCGACACACACGCAGACATGCCATGCTGGCTTAGCCAGGACCTGATCCCACTGCAGTGTAAGAGAAAAACATCCTGTAATCCTAGTTGGAAAAACATGGCCAACTGCACTATTGTGTTGTGTTGAAAGGCTTTCTCATTAAAGAGGAGAGATTAAGATAGAAAGAGAGATGTACCAAAACAATTGGACAGTGTTCACTCTCAGTCACTGCTGTTCTTACAGTTGGATTTCTAACCAGTCATTTCCATTCCATGGAAAAGCATATTCATTTTGTATATACAGACAAAGATAAACACAGAACCTGTTCTTTTTTTCTCCTCCAGTACTTTGAATACACTACTCAAAAGGAGATCCGTTTCAACTCCGTGACAGAGCTGTGTGCTGAAGTACCTGAGGGCCAGACCTACATCGGGATGAAGACATGCCTTCATGATGGGCTGCTCAACCCTCCCAGTGTCGCCTGGGACTTCAGAGAGGTAGGAGTTCACACACTTCCACTCACAAATACACCCCCATTATTCCACAAGACTTCCTAAACTAAAAACTCTTATTTAAATGTTCTCCCTAAAACCTTTCAGGACGGGACCATCTACCACCATCACTCTGACATGTGTTTGACAGCCTACCGCATCCCAGAGGGCCGCACAGACACCCAGATGAAGCGATGCACCCCCGGAGATAAAAACCAGCAGTGGAAGTTTGAGTCGTAGGAGGGATAGAGAGCTGCAGGGAACCTCAAGTGACCTTCTTTCACCATAGTGCAATTACTACAGTGGATGTCTTCTCTGTGACTGCTCTCCATTTGAATGGCAACAGGGAGCAAATGAAAGGTGGTGAAACAGTCACTTTAAGCCAGTGACTCACCCAATTCAAAGCTTTTATACACGTGTGAAAGACTAAGTGCAGGTCGCGAAGAGTGAATGAGAGATGCAAGGCAATGTTTATTGGACTTTTTTTAGAAGACCAGCAGAACTTGAGACTTTTACATTTGTGTTGCTTTCATCCAAGTGCCTCTGCAACCAAAGTGAAGTCCAGTGCACATCTGTAATTGTAATTTTGTACTTTAATCTAATGCAACAACTTGAAATTAGTGAAACTGATTTGACTGTCGAGAAAGTGCCTCCTAAAGAAATTGAAGCATTTCCTAGAAAATGTATTTCAAAAATCATGCTGCACTACAAAATGTTACCTTGATGTGCAATTAATTTTAAGTATTTTTATTGAGTCCTTTAAGTCAACAGCATTTTGACCCTAACCAGCTACAGTACTTCCTAACATGCTGCATCATGTGAGGACAACAGGGAGAGAGCGGTCACACTAGACTGCTTCTCAATTCTATCTCGTGTCTGTGAAGCCAGTTTCCTGGTGGGATGCTGCCTGAACATGACTGGGAGCATTCGTTAATTATTCGTACTAAGTACAATTTACCCCAGAGGGCTTAGTGAGTCGACAGGTATGTTGTAATCTATTTTTACCTGTTGTGTAAAATTAGGAATACCCTTCGGTTGTAATCTTTTAAGAACTTGTTGGTGCCGAATTGAAATGTGCCAGTGGATTTGAAATGAATTGCATATGTGTTTTTAATGCTCAAAACTAAACACTGGCGCGATGCACTTGATTTTATACAGCAATACATGGCTTAAAGGGAGCGCCTGTTTGATTTAATCCAGCAGTTTGTCAGTGCAAGACTGTTTTGTTTAGACTTGTGTGTGTAAACTGTACTTGAAGCAGCATCATGAAAAAGTCCTGTTTTATTTTTTCACTGAAGGCCTGTTGGTGTTTCCACTGGGATTCAGTTACCAAGACATGCAGTGTAACTGTTGTTGAATATCAGCTGTATTTGCCGAAGACTGCTTATCACTGAGCAATGTTTGGTGTCCTTTGAATTCATGAATATGAGATATTCATACTAGCCGATGGATACAGCAGGTAAACATGTACAGTGAGATGACTCCTGTTTTTCTGTAACTTTGTAAATAATATTTGGTTTAAGGGACCAGAGTGGGACAGTGCTGTTGTGAAGCACTTTTAAAACTACTGAAAATGCAAAAGGGATGGCGATGATGATTACTTGATATGAAGAAGAGGGTGATGATTGAAATGGGATGGATGTCAATAATGGTTCAAACTGTTGGGATGATTGAAGGAATAAAAAAAACTAACCACAGATGCAAAGTGTCATTTTCATGAGTTCAGGTAGTGAACTCTGCACGGTTCACTACCTGTGGCTCTTTTTTGTGTGACATTAAATGACTATATGAAACAGATAAGGGGGTTCAGGTAGTGAACTCTGCACGGTTCACTACCTGTGGCTCTTTTTTGTGTGACATTAAATGACTATATGAAACAGATAAGGGGATTTATTAAGACTGGCATTTACAAACTGCCACAGCTTCCTTCTCCCCATACCATTCAGACATGGATTACATTATTCTCAGTCATTTGGCACCACCTCCTGGTAGGAAAGCAAATTACAATGACTACCAAGGGCAGACCATAGTTCCTGTCCTGGCCACACTGTCAGGCGAGAAGAAAACATTTAATTACTGATGGTGGAAACCACTTAGACCTTCAGATTACATTAAGGATTTAGCTAACCTGTGTATTTTATTAAGCAAAGAGTAGGTCAAAATGTACATCAAATTACACATTGTGTGTTTACCCTATCATGGATTAACATCATGCAGAAACGATTCAAGCCAGAATCGATTCAAGCCATCAGATTTTTTTTTAATATTTTCAGTAACTCTACAGTATATCATCCTCTTCTGTTAGAGGTGAGCATTGTGAGCAATGTTCTTTTAAAAACCCAATGATTTAGGTGAGATTGAAGGAAAAAGTAGTAAAAATAGTGACTTTATTTAGAGGATCAGAATGAGACCTCCTGAAGTAGGAAGTAGGTGAGACTTGAGTAATGAGACAAAAAAAGATCCAAAGGAAAGAGGAATTATTAATTCAGGGTCAAGTGTTTTTTTTTTTAATGCAAACTAAAATGGACTGCACTGATCTGTTTGCTATAAATAGTTATTGTTGACTACTCTATCATCTTGATGCTGCCGCAGACTTCCTCGTCTGACATGCTGCATACATTTAATGTTCTTCATATCCTTGTTTTCTTTGTTCCCTTACACACTTGAAATCTGTAAAATGTCTGCTTAATCTATCTGAATAAGTATAGGACTCTATAGTTTAATTTTACAGATCACAAAAAAATGGGCTTCTTTCTCATCTGATTAAGATCCACTGAAGCCTTTGATTACTTAAGGGCACCTTGGCTATTTGACTTAAATTCCTTGTGAGTTATATTATATTATCTTTCCAGGAGAGATAACGTGCTTTAACAACTATACGTTTAACTGTTGTTGCTCCAGAGAGACTTCATTGTGGCGTACCATTAACTTCTCCAATGTGATAGTCACAGTATTTTGGTGTGAAATCCTTTTTTTATGTTGTTAATGTTCATACAAACACAACTATCGTCTTAAAGGAAACATTAATGGAGGACTTCTTGCAATTCTATAAATTACTATTACACAGCAATGGTTGTGATGAACACTGGAAGTTGACTTGAAAGTAGGGGGAAAAGGTGTTGCACACTGGTTACATACTGTAGTAGTGTGCTTTCTAGTAGTGGTGTTACAACATCAAGGATCATACCTTTTCCCAAAGGTGCATACATGTATGCAGTTCACCTTTGTTTCATTTTCCTGTTAATATATTTGAACAAAATATCTGTTGCATGGAAAATGTTATCCATCACCCGGTCCTAAATGAAAAAGCCCTCATGCAGTAACATTAATATTGTGTTTCTGACAGACTACAAGCCCAGCCTACCATGACATATTCCAACACTGCGGTTGACTTGTTACATTTCTCTTTGTAGTTTTATGTACTATACGCCACTCAAATTACCTTCTCACCTTGAAGGATCGCCTTAATTATTTAGCATTTAATTTGCTTAAACATACATTTTGTGTCAGATTTCATCTTTGGTGTCAAGAGTGTTCTCATCAGTTTCATGTGAGTGACAAGTGGCTGCATATGAAATAGGACCACCAAGGTAAATGATTTCTTGCTTGGATGGGTATACTGAAGGGTCAGTAAAGAGGATATAGAGTTATAAAGAGTTTGGGGTATATCATAATGTTTCTTATCTGAGGATGTGTCGTGTTAATATAAATGGAAGCTTATCGATAAAAAGTCAACACAGGGAGGAAAAGTGAACTGAAACTCAGTCACATGTTCAACCTAGGCTTTTACAACATATGAGGGAAACCAGAGGTCAATAAATAAAGTCTGTAACTGATATTTGGGAAATGCATTACAAAATTCAAGCCAAAATGTCTGTTTCTGATCAAATATTTCAGGCCATAGGTCTGTTCCTTCTCAAATATGTACCTGTCCTGCCGCTATAGGGAGTTGAACTTCGACTGTGTGAAGTTACAGGAGCTAACACATTGCACTTCCGGTTAAACTATTTTGCCTTCCAATTAAAAGGGTGTTGTTGATAAATGACTAGGTGAAGGAAAGTCGCATTACTAGGCACAACATCACTACATTTTGTAAGCCAACTAGCTAAGAACAAATGAAATGCTTTAGCAACCAGTGTTGCGATAGTGTATATGCTTTCTGTGGGGTTTAATTTTGAAATTCGTGAACCGGAAGCCTCGTTGCTAGCTCAGCTCAAATGACGACAGTAGGTTTAACTTCAAATGTAAGTAGCCGGAGGCACATTTCAGACGGATTATCTGAAGGTAACATAGAAGGGTTTGGCAGGATAGTAGTTGGACACTACAAATTGACATGTGTCTTTTTATTGTAACAGTAAATGTACTCAAGAAAACGCTTACTTAAAGAAACAGTGAACGGGTTTTTGATTTGACCTGATTGTTTCCAGAGGGATTCCTCAGGTTATGTACAGGTTAACTGGCTAATCCAACGAGATAACTAGTTAAATCCGTGGTTGCTAATCCTTTTCAGACACGTATCCTCTGAACACCGTTAAAAAGAGTAGGAGGAGTGTCCTACTGCAACGACCGTTACGATAACAACGACAAAGTATTGTAACCACAACTCGAAAGTTTTTTTTTAGTTGGACATGTTTGAGAGAGACTGAATACAAAATCATTTATTTTCCGTAAACTGATAGCCTACTAGTTTCGTCTGAAAGAATGCGGACTAAACTTGAAGTGGTGAAACGGAAACGTGACGCTGGTGAATGTGAAAGGGTCACTTCTTGTTCAGCAGCAGAAACATTAGGTGCCAGTGTGCCGCTCCTCAGGGCATGAAACTTCTACCCAAGTTTGCACCGAGGAAGGAAGCGACAACATGGCACTCTGCGGAAGAAGGCACCGACCAAAGATACTTTTCTCATTCTTGAGTGTCACTTTAGTGGGATATCTAGTGTTTTTCAGGCACAACTCAGTGGACGTGAGTGTGACAAACCGACAAGAGCCCTCCGGGGAGCGAGAGGTGGGGAATGAAGAGCTAAAGAAACCCGTCTACGAGAGGCCCCCCATGGATTTATTAGCCCTGGGTGAAATGGGGAGAGCCGTCAAGCTGAATCTGAACGGAGAGGAGAAGACAAAAGAGGAAGAAAGCATCAAAAAACATCAGATAAACACTTATGTCAGTGATAAAGTGTCGCTACACCGCAGTTTGCCAGAGAGATGGAACCCACTGTGAGTTACTAGTTGAGAAGTGTCAAGCTTTATACCACTGTTATAAAGTTAAAGGAGATTGTATACACTGTGGATGCCATGCAGAAGCTACAATCCAGCTGTTTGCTGATTGTGTATTGTACAATTACAATAGTACCTGCCATTGTTTTTCTTAAAGGAAACAATGTATAAGTAGTAGGCTACAGAGTAATTTGCTTTTGGGGTGTAACTGATGCTTGCCATATCTAATAGAAACTGAATATGTGGGGTATATAATAATGTTTTTTATCTGGGGCTAGTTAAGACGTGTCAAACAAAACAAAAACAAAAAAACACTGTTATAAAGTGAATAGGATCCTACACTATGGATGCCATTCAAAAGCTAAAATCTAGCTGACTAACTGCAATTGTTTTTCCAAAAGACACAAATTAACTAGTACAATCATTTGCTATTGGGTGTAACCGATGCTTGCCATATTTCATAGATAGTATTATTTACTTAGCATTTCATCTCCATGCTACTGCCTCCTTCCACTGTGCAGTTTTAACCACTTCCACATCCTCCTTTTCAAAATGACTCCTAATATCTAACACATTGCAGTTGCAAAGAGGTGGAGTATGACTACAGGTCCCTGCCAACAACCTCCGTTGTCATCACCTTCTACAACGAGGCCTGGTCCACCCTGTTGAGGACGGTCCACAGCGTCCTGGAGACGTCTCCGGACATCCTGCTGAAAGAGGTGGTGCTGGTGGACGACTACAGTGACAGAGGTACGAACATGGACTGATGGACAGGCAGAGGGGCTGGGGGCGGTCAGGGGTGCTGATTGACAGTCAGAGAGAACAGAGAGGTTGTCAGAGGTACACACAAGTCGTGAAACAGACAGGTGGCAATCATCAGTTTGTCAGAGATACAGTGACAGCTGGTGAATGTAAGACTTAAAGGGACACTTTATACACATCCGTTTAGAATCCTAGATGTCTGGTTTTGTATTTATCTTCAATATAAAGACACAGTAACATCTTGCAAAATGGTACAGTAATAATTAATAACAGTATTCCTGTAAATTGGAAGAGTTTGATCAAACGCAGTGTTCAAATTGAAAGAGGAAAAAGAGAAGCATTCTGTGGCTGGCTAAAGATGAACTCAAGAGATTTTTTGTCACTAATTTGAGGCCATTAATTATTTGGTTTTCTGTATGCAGATTAACTGTGAAGAGCTGAGACATTTTAGGGAGTGGTTCAAAAACCATTTTGGCTTCATGGTCTTATGAATGAAGCAATGCCTGCCTCACCCTCTGTGTTAACATTGGCTGTATACAGAACGGTGAAGAAATTCACCAGAAAATGATTTCAGATTAAGAGGTGGTGTAGAGACCAATAACATTTCACAATTAGAAGACGGGCACGGAAAGAAATACATTGTAAAATATTTGTTAGATATGTTTGTATTCTTTCATGTAAATCAACATAAACTCTTAGTACCATCAGAACAACAGGGATTGCTGACGGTCTGTTTAAGGACAAAGGATTAATTTACCAAAGCCCATTTTATTAATCATGTTGTGTTATTCCACCAACAACGCACCAGATGGATGATCGGAATGTAGTTATTGTGTATAAAACATTTGAACACTATTTTCCTTTCTTTGGTAATCAGCTTTACGAGCTGCTATCAAAAGCTGGCTGCAGAATGTATTTGTTGTGTCATACTTGTTGTCCATGATCCATTTAATCTCTTAATGTTTGAAGTGAACACGTAACAGTTTTCAATTCACATTTATCAGATTGTTTGTTTGTTTACTTGTTGTATTTCCTGAAGCTCATCTGAAGGGGCCATTGGAGCAGCACATCTCAGGTTTGAGGAAGGTGCGTTTGATCCGGGCCACCAAGAGGGAGGGGTTGGTGCGTGCCCGGTTGCTCGGGGCATCCATTACCACGGGTGATGTGCTGACCTTCCTGGACTGTCACTGCGAGTGTCATGACGGCTGGTTAGAGCCTCTGCTTCACAGGTTAGAAAACCTTCAGCAGGGAAATGGAGTGTTTTGTCATTGTTGCTTTGTGGTTGGAAAGGCTTAACTGAAGTGTAACACTGAAAACCATCCAGTCTGCTAAAGGAGAGCTGTTATTTTACTCTCTAAAAGCAAGGGCATAGTATGGCTTTATAACACTACTTTATTCCTGTCAAGAGCTTTCCTCCTCTTTCTACTCCAGGATCAAAGAGGAGCCTTCGGCGGTGGTGTGTCCTGTCATTGATGTGATCGACTGGAACACTTTCCAGTATTTAGGGAACTCTGGTGAACCTCAGATTGGAGGCTTTGATTGGCGGTTGGTCTTTACCTGGCACACTGTCCCAGAATATGAACAGAAACGCCGTCGATCGCCTATTGATGTCATCAGGTGGGTTTTTTGGACGTTGTGAGAAAAAGTCCCATGAATTTTATATCTTGGTTCTGGCAGATCTTGTTTCCCTTGCAGATATGTTTTGTTATGCTAATATTTTCCCACAATAATGACCATTTTACCAATTTATTTGTTGATTGAAAGGGTAGTGTACTTCAGCTTTGTAGGTAAAGTTAATTGAGAGCTGTAGTGAGGCAGGGTGCGTACGGGTGCTGGAAATCCTTGAAAATGCTTGAAATTGTACGAGGTGTTTTCAAGGTTTGAAAAGTGCTTGAATTTTGGGAATGGTGCTTGAATTTGGGATAAAGTGCTTGAAATTGTAAATGCTTTACTTCGCTTTTTAGATTAAAAGAAAATAAAGAAGTCGGAGCGCGCTTAATTGCTTCGCTTTTACATAAAACAGCTCCGCTCCGGCTGTCTCGCGCAATGCGCGTGACCGGCAAGTGTTTTTGTTACGTGTGTGACCTGGGCATTCTGATGAGAGTGATAGATGACAGTATGCCAGGAGGTTGCCGTTTCAACGAGCGTTGGCTAGCAGAAGACAAATACAAGCCATGGCTAAGACGAGGGTCAAGCGAAGCCCAAGAGTAGCCTCCTGCAAAGTGTGCAACAATAACGATGCGAGAGTCTGCGCTGACGAGCCACACACCACACGAAAGGTAGGCCAGAGTAGAGCATTTTAGATTAGGCTATCGTTGCATGTAAAATACATGACACTTTTCTCTGTGCACGGCAAAACAAGCTCGCCAAAATGGCTTCACTAGTCTGGCAGTATTTTAAGTGTCCGAAAATGACAATAAAATAGCGGTGTGTGAAGCAGAAATCCTGCAGCTCCACCCGCTGTGACGGACCGGTGAGCGGAGCAGAACACACATTAAGAGTTAGACCTAACACACTTAGCTATTTGATCTACCTCTGGAACAAGCTAAACTAGTTATAAATATATTTATTCTTCACTGTCGGGTCACTCATTACTGGATCAGTGAGCTGCAGGAGATACTGACGGGCTGTCAGGAGAGAGAGAGAGGGAGGGAGAGAGGAAAAGAGAGCGCTTCCGCTAATTTCTCCCGTGTTATTATCCCAAGTTAATATAAACTTGAATAATGTACTTCATTTGAATGTAATAATTATGTTGGTTGGTTGGTTTGTGGAAGCGCCAGTGAATGAGCCCCATTAACTGAGTTTTAAACATCACTTTAAATGGAAGATCCCCATAGGCCCCGCCCACTCGATCGGATCGGCGATCGGTATCGACCGATACTGATTCCGGCGATTGGCCCCAAAATTGGCGATCGGAGCATCCCTAATAATTGTATATGATATGTTTTATAATGATTGATCATTAAAGTGTTCTCAAAGCTGGTAAAGGTGCAGCTAGTTTGAATGACTTTGTATACTACAGAGTAGCTTGTGAATTTACTCCAGGTGGAACTAAAGTCTGATTTAACACTTGATTATATTTCACATCATTGATCCACATCTGTAAAGTAACTAAAGGTATTAAATACATGTAGTGGAGTAAAAGTACACCATTTACCTCTGACTTATGTTTACTGCCAACCTAAAAGTACCTCAAAAATAGTAATCAATAATGTGTTGAAAAGTTATTTGGCTGATTGTTTTATATTGGCTCAGCCAGGTTATATGGGATGCCCAGTCTACGTACAGATGGGTCACTCATTTTGAAATATTAAACTTAGTTTTCTTTTCTAAAAAATTTAATTTTTCATCCTCATGTAGAATGCTATTATGAAACACACATTTGGTTGTTTATAGCATAAAGAACATCTGATTTAATGTGAGGTAGGGAAATAATCATTTGAGTATAAGTATGTGTATATAAATATGTAATTTACAACAGCTGTAAGATGCTTGAAAAGTAGGGATGTCCCGATCACCTTTTTTTGCTCCCGATCCGATTCCGATCATTTGATTTTGACAATCTGCCGATACCGATTTTTCCCGATCCGATCTTTATGCAATGCATTAAGAGGAAAAAAAAGGTAACAGATAACGGCTGGTCATCCAACGCGATGAATTCAGCTATCTTGGCTGTTCTGGGGTAGTTTCTCTTTCCTTTTAAAAGTCTCTGAAAGTGTCGGTTGTTTCAGTGCCGTTACCTGAGTGGCCGCTGTGTACTCGTCGTGTTGTTGTTGGTGGTGTTTGTATTAGATTGGTCATGTTGAACGTAGCTCTGTTCTTTCCACCACGCGGAACCTCCGCCTTGCAAACATTGCATCTGGCTGTTACACTGCCTTCGCTTTCAATTTTATAATACTTCCAAACTCCTGACATTTTCTCTGTCCCGACTCCCGAGTCACCAGCTGAACGTAGCCTCTTGTTAGCTTACTGCTACTATAGACACTGCGCCCACTCTGTTGCCAGATTTGAGAGAAATAAGCAACCAGGTCTATGAAAACAAGCCCAAAAGAAGCAACACATACATGATGTTGTGTAATTTTAACCCAAAACTAAGGCCTCAGGATGACTTTAAGACGTGAACATGGTCATTTTTGTTTTGTAACATTAAATAAAATGTATAAAAATATTTTATAAAAAAAAAAAAAAAAAATCCGATCCCCGATTTTTTTCTCCCGATCCCCGATCACGATCGGCTCCGATCCCCGATCACGTGATCGGATCGGGACATCCCTATTGAAAAGCTTGAAAATGCACCTTGAAAATGCTTGAAAAGTGCTTGAATTTGACTTTGGAAAAGGTGTAAGAACCCTGTGAGGGAAATGGGAACTGGATATTTCAGTTATACAAATTAAAGCTAGGGTGGGTCATTTAAAAAAGTTGCAAACCCTTTTCCAATTAAAGTAGCTAGCAGCATTAGCTCCAAAAGTCACTCAATCTAGCGTAGAAGTTACTAAATGGGCAACATTGACAGCCTGTCTCTTCAGGACATGTAAACAAACATGGATATTGTTGGTACTAACAGTTGTCAAGCCAACAGATCGTGGCACACTTCAGTACAATGAGGCCAGTAGGCAGACAGGCATGTGGAAATATTAAAGAAATATCTTAAGGTCATTCAATTTGGATTTGCGCAGATACCGGGTTTAAGGATAACTTTAAAGAAAGAGCTGTAGATTATCTCGTATACTGTCAGCTGGCACTAAAGATGATATATCAGTTCTCTCATCCGGCAGAAAAATCATAATTTATAAGATGCAGGGAAATAATCTTGTGATGTGTTTTTGCCCTCAGGTCTCCTACTATGGCAGGTGGTCTGTTTGCTGTGAGCAAGAACTACTTCCAATACCTGGGAACATACGACACAGGCATGGAGGTGTGGGGGGGGGAGAACCTGGAGTTCTCCTTCAGGGTAAGACATGATGTTTCATATGTACATGTATTGTTTAAGGGTGTACCTCTAGGTATACAAATTTTCACAATTCATATACTGTCTGCATATTAAAATGAAATATGCACATTTTAATTGACACTAAAACACACAGCAGTAAAAAGGCATCCAGAACTGCATCATGTGACGACTTATAGTTTCCCCAAACATCCTGAAATAATTATATCAACCAGTGTGAACAGGCCAAATATTTTTATAGTTTAATTTCAGTGAAGAATCTGAACATCCTTTTTTTCAGTAACTGCAATTTCCCAAAGGGAAGTCACCCAAATACATTTCCCTTCAACAACAAAACAGCTTTTCTGTCTCCAAGTTCTGCCCCAACAAGGCTGTGCTTTGTCTGGAGTCAGTGAATCATGGCTCTGTGGCTAACCAAACCCTCGTGGTGCTGGTGTTTGTGATGTCTCTTAGATTTGGCAGTGTGGAGGCAGCCTGGAGGTCCACCCATGCTCCCATGTGGGCCACGTGTTCCCTAAAAAGGCCCCCTACTCACGCAGCAAAGCTCTGGCAAACAGTGTGAGAGCCGCTGAGGTCTGGATGGATGAATTCAAAGACGTCTACTACCATCGAAACCCCCACGCACGACTGGTGAGTCCGCACAGATGGCGAGTGTTTGTACGTGCAAGTGGAATCAAATACAACTTGCATTTTCAAGTAAGCGTTAGAGTATAGCAATGACTGAATTGTTTATTTTTCTTTATGGAGAAATGGGAGATGGAGCTGCACTCACCACAAAACTGATGATTTATCACATGATTTCAACACACACATGCACACATTTGAATATTTACACAAACTACACACACTGCCTGCCCCCCCCGCTGTGGTGTAAAAGCTTCCCTGATTAAGTGACACTTGGGATACATGAGTGGCAGACACGCCAGGTGACAGGGGCGTCAAGGCGTTCCGGTGTGTGATTACCACCTTTCCATGTCCCTCCGTGCCAACAGGTGTCACCCACCTGTCCTTGAGTGAGAGCAGCACTAACGTGTGTGTGTGTGTGTGTGGCAGTGTAGTTAAGAGGAGAGGCTCTCTAAACACAGATCAGGTGGCACTTATGTCCCTGAGAGGAGGAAGTCTTGCCAAATTCGCAATGGCTCGGCAAAGCTAATAAACCAAACTCTCTAAACAAACACTCCTCTTCTAATAGATAGACACATGGTCATACATGCAGCATTTTGAGAAATGTTATATTCAAGATGTTTTATTTTCTTGATGCTGTTAAACTTTCCTATGACAGCCTTTATCTCATAGGTTTCATGACACTTTTTCTGGCATTTTTAGCAGTTTTTGATATACACTGGTAGAGATTTTATCAAACCTTTTGAAGAGATTATCAACCCAAGTATCTTTCTGAAGATATTTTTGGCATATTCCCACTTCCTGCTACGTGACGCTGGCAGACATGTCAAAGCAGACACTACACACACACAAAGATCTTCCTTTGTTCTCTTCAGGAACTATCAGATTTTTATTTGTGTAAATAATTAATTAATTTAGGTCTGGTATGACTAAATCACAACTTCACATTATAGTTTTTGGATCCAAGCCCTCTATGTATGTCATTTGAGTCAGTCTTAAACATAATATATTGATGGATCATTTCAATATTTATAAAGCAGCAACATTGTCATCTTACCCAAAAAAAGCTACGCTACAGAACATTACATTACGGTTACAGGATGATTGATCGCTGAATTGTCGAGTTGATGAGTCTCATGTTTACAACTCTTGGTAAATAAGTAATAAGGCGGTGTGCAACCTAAATAAAGTAGATTCAAATTGCAACAGTGTATCGTTTTCAGACATGACTCGGATACAAAAGTGAATCTATATCCAATGTTTTCCCATGATCTGTTTACACTTCCTTATTTGTGACTCCCTTACTAATCCATATACTGGGTTGTCATTGCGTGTCACTCTTACATTTGCTCTTTACTGTCATTTAAATACCATCTCTCAATTGGCCTGTTATTGGCCTCATAAGCTGTAGTGGCCCGCACTGGTCCTCCACATTGTCAGCTGACTCTGTCCTTTGGGAATCCGTCTATTGAGAAAGTTAATTGATGAAGGGCCAATTAAAGCTGTGTTTGGGCGAACCACCATCATTAGGGATGTCCCGATCCGATCACGTGATCGGGGATCGGAGCCGATCACGTGATTTTCACGTGATCGGGGATCGGGAGAAAAAAATCGGGGATCGGAATTTTTTTCTTTTTTTTTATAAAATATTTTTATACATTTTATTTAATGTTACAAAACAAAAATGACCATGTTCACGTCTTAAAGTCATCCTGAGGCCTTAGTTTTGGGTTAAAATTACACAACATCATGTATGTGTTGCTTCTTTTGGGCTTGTTTTCATAGACCTGGTTGCTTATTTCTCTCAAATCTGGCAACAGAGTGGGCGCAGTGTCTAATAGTAGCAGTAAGCTAACAAGAGGCTACGTTCAGCTGGTGCCTCGGGAGTCGGGACAGAGAAAATGTCAGGAGTTTGGAAGTATTATAAAATTGAAAGCGAAGGCAGTGTAACAGCCAGATGCAATGTTTGCAAGGCGGAGGTTCCGCGTGGTGGAAAGAACAGAGCTACGTTCAACATGACCAATCTAATACAAACACCACCAACAACAACACGACGAGTACACAGCGGCCACTCAGGTAACGGCACTGAAACAACCGACACTTTCAGAGACTTTTAAAAGGAAAGAGAAACTACCCCAGAACAGTGAAAAGGCCAACAAAATAACAGCCAAGATAGCTGAATTCATCGCGTTGGATGACCAGCCGTTATCTGTTACCTTTTTTTTCCTCTTAATGCATTGCATAAAGATCGGATCGGGAAAAATCGGTATCGGCAGATTGTCAAAATCAAATGATCGGAATCGGATCGGGAGCAAAAAAAGGTGATCGGGACATCCCTAACCATCATCCATCATCCTGCAGAGCGTCTGAACTCTTCCTCCAGCAGGGAAGGTGTGGTGAGCATATGCTCTGTCATCCTCCCTGCATCATAGATCACTAGTCATGGTTACTGTTGTGTGTATGCACAGCTATGTATGCACAAAGTGTGGAGGAAACTTCTGTGTAGCAATGCATGGAGTCACCGACTCAGGAAGTTGGAGCTTTGATGTCAAACACTGATGGGTTTATTCAGAGTATTCGGCCGGAGGATTCACATCACAAATCAAAGAGTCAGAGGTTCTGACTACACGGTAGAGTTGCCACGTCAATTCTGAAGAGCCTCTCTCTATGCTAGACCTTTTAACGGGTTCACAGAGAGAAATCAACATCTCTGAAGGAGTAGACTAAACAGCTGGGAACACTGAGCCACCTGCCATACGGGGAGGTATTTTACACACATCCCCCGGAGCCGCAGCTGGAGCCGTGTTTTTTTTAGAGGCGCTGGGGGTAATATCTCTGGCTGCTTGTGTTAACTGCTAGTGTTGGCCGCTGAAACCCCCGGAATCTCGGCGATTTGTTCATTACAAATCTCTATTTTGATTTCACACAGAAGTTCCACTTTACTGCTGCCCTCATTAAGGTCTTTTTAAACATCTCCGTGTATGCCGGCACGGCACATACGTCCCGAGCAGCACACACAGAGGGAACCAGCCAGGACAGAGTCCCTGGATGATCCCCTGGGGTTACTAGCCCCAAATGTTCATTAACCAAAACGAAACGCAGCCGCTTAGCTTCACAGATAATTTTAGGATACCGTCAATCACAGATTCTGGTAAGGCAATGTCCAAATGTAGATTTGAAATCACACTTACCAGTTCTGAAGATCTGTTGGTATCCTGCCGACAACGCCAATTTGTGGAGGAAACTTCTGTGTAGCAATGCATGGAGTCACCGACTCAGGAATTTGGAGCTTTGATGTCAAACACTGATGGGTTTATTCAGAGTATTCGGCCGGAGGATTCACATCACAAATCAAAGAGTCAGAGGTTCTGACTACACGGTAGAGTTGCCACGTCAATTCTGAAGAGCCTCTCTCTATGCTAGACCTTTTAACTGGTTCACAGAGAGTAATCAACATCTCTGAAGGAGTAGACTAAACAGCTGGGAACACTGAGCCACCTGCGTCCGACACTCATGGCCTCAAGGATTTCACATCCTAGAGCCCACAAACACCGATAAAGAAGTGCCTCAGCGTTCTCACAACAATTACCCTTCGTGCCAGACAAGTTGACCGGTCACAAACTGATGACAACAACACATATGGCACCAAGGCCTTTCCTTAAAGGAGATAACAGACGTCAGAGTAGATCATAAAACGTCACAGAGCAAAAGGTTAGATATCTAGAAGAATTATTCCTTAACACAAAGGTATTTACATAAGAAAATACAAGACATACATACTGACATGCCAAGACACACATGGATACTCGACCATGATGTAGAAAAAGCAGTACTTACCCTAAAATGTATATTTCACAAATATCAGAAAGAAAGATTACAACAAAATCATTCCACTGCAACAGTTTGTAATTTCCTTTCAGGTAGAGCCTACTTTTTTCAACTTCCATGGTGTTTATTAAGGTTCCCACAGCTGAACAAAGTCATTATTTTTGCCCTTTAGCAATGTAAACTAGTTTTTCAAGACGGATACATTTTGAAATCTCCACATCCTCAAGGAAGGAGCGTCCTAATCTTTCAAAATGCCATGGCTGTCTTTGCTAGGATCAATCCAGAAGTTTAGTCTGCTCCGATGTTTGTGTGTTTGGAATATATCAGGAGGACTTAATATAGAAATTTGACATTTAAAAAAAAGTTTGTATTAAACTTGAAGAACAAATGTTTTATTACGTCCTTAAAAAGTTTTGATCTTTTGGGAATTCCCATAGAAAGTGAAATAGTACCTCGTTCGAACATTCAGTGCAAACAGCTGGTCGAATCAGCAGACTTATTATGAAGTCTGACGAGCAGTATGTACATTTATATTGAAGTATCTTAAACCTTGTGTTTACCGTCTGGTTTTTCACTTTAAACAAGCCTTGTAAGTGTCCTATTATTACTATATTACAACTATAGATGGTGCTGTTGTATACCATTTCAGCACAAAGCTATCCTCTGAGTGTGTCCTCTCTGACACTGCAGTATCAAGAGTACACACACACACACACACACAAGTTTTAATTTGAACACCGTACCAATTTTGTTATTCCTGTGAGTGTTTTGATTCTCAGGTTATTACATTTGTGGTCTTTGATTTCAGGAGGCCTTTGGAGATGTGACAGCGCGGAGGAAGCTTAGAGAGAAGCTGGGCTGTAAGGACTTCAGGTGGTATCTGGATAATATTTACCCCGACATTCACGTCCCAGAGGATAAGCCGGGCATGTTTGGAATGGTGAGAACACATCTGAGAAGCTTGTGTCTGTTTTTTTTGTAAGAAAGTTCAATTACATTATTTCTTTTTTATAATGAAGATCTTTCCTCAGGGTATATTCAGTTGTCCACTCTGCAAATACAGTACACATACACACAGGTATAGGTGCACACATGCAAATAATCAGATAATGCTACATTTAAAGTCGAGTGGAAATATGTTGTGTTTTTTAATGTGGCACACAACAAAAACAAAAAAGCGTTTGCACAAACTCTTTGTACACATATACATTCATTAGCGAAAAATATAGTCCATACTTTTCAATTTTTAATGTGTAGTCTGTCTAGGAGTCTTTTGGCATCATCTCATTTCAAAGATTTATTGACCTTATTAGTTTCTCCATTATAGCTGAAGAGCCGCGGCAAATCCAACTACTGTTTCGACTACAACCCTACAGACGAGCACAACGTGGTGGGACAAAGAGTCATCCTGTACCAGTGTCACGGCATGGGGCAGAATCAGGTAATGCACGCCAGTCTCTCAGGCCATCAGCCATTAAAGGGTCACTTCAGTCCGTTGGAATGGGCATTACATGTCTTCCTTTAGCATTATGAAATGTTTGATTAGCCTTAGTTTTACCGGAGAACTATTTAATCAATCATTATCATCACATCTAAGACTTCAGTCCTCTTAACTTGACAAAGGTTTGTATTTCTATCTTACAAATCTTGCATTAGGGAACTAGTTAGCCTTTTCCCTTGTTGAAAAATGATATGTCGACCTTTGTGACACACCTTTATGCTCTGTGGTCAAGGACGCAGAAATGTACCACTGTTTCTCCAGCAGCCCTCTGTACACACACACACACACACATACATACACACACACACACACACACACACACACACACACACACACACACACACACACACACACACACACACACACACACACACACACACACACACACACACACACACACACGTATCATAGGAACCAAGGCTTTTGCTGTCTGCCTTATGGGACTGCATGATGTAAACTCACCCTAAACACACACCTGCATTACACATGTTTGTATGTATGTGTAATACAATAAAAAAACCACTCACAAGCCATCTCTCAGTATGCTGGGTCCGTTATCCTTCCTGCTACATGCCTTCTTCTGAGTCATACATAAACATGCAAACATACATGGGCATTCTCTGTGTCTAAAATGACCCTCTGAAATATTGCAAAACCTAAATGCATTTTTGTTTTGGTTATAGCAATCAGTTGAGTTGCAGTGGAAAAATGAACAATTAAGTTACATGCATGACATGATATTTCTTTGAGTCTATATCATGTGGAATTTTAAGTGAGATTTAAAAAAAAAAGGCAAAAAAGTTGAATTTACATTACACATTTTGCACTTCCTCCCGCAGTTCTTTGAGTACTCCACAGAAGGGGAGATCCGCTACAACACCAGGGAGCCTGCTGGGTGCGTTGTGGGTGACCCCATCAGCACCTACCTGACCCTCCAGCTGTGTCGGAAACGAGGACAACCCATGCCTCAAGACCAGAAGTTTGTCCTCCGGGAGGTAAGGACTTCAACCCAGGTATCCCAAAGAGGGAGTGTGTGTGGAGAGACAGGAAGTGACATCATGGTGGCAGTGAAAATGGAGGATGAAATGACGTTCTGAATAGCTTTCCTTTTTAATGTTTGACTCTTTTTTTCATACGTTCACATTTATTTATTACTTTCCTTCTTGAACCACCACTAATGCTCTTACTGTTTCTATCCCCTGTTTTCCAGCTCTTAACCAATCCAATCATCTAAAAGCCTTTCCTCTTTTATTAGTAGGGATGTGATTCTTTTGCCCCATACAAGAACATCCTGTGATGATTTTATTATCTTCATTTGTTTTAAAATATCCTTAGTGTTTTTGGCAATATATAAAGTTGTCCTATTCATACATTCTTATCATTCTTATTTTATTTTATTTTATTGATACTACTGTAGAAGTTGTGAAAAAAAAGAGACGAGAACAACCTGTATTTTTGACTATACAACGCTTGTGTTGTTTATTGACCAGCTAAAAGCTCAGCAAGTATGTGAAAACGTTACTTTCAACACTCTGTTTCCATAGTAACACATTGACACTGTCCAACTCTTGTGTGAAGGTAAAACATCCCAGAAAAGGCACATAAGTTGATTGCTAGTTTTTAACCACAGACAATGGTGAATTATGTCCTTACAAATCTGCTACAATATAATAATCTCAAAAGTGTTATTACTGGATTGAAGCTGAGATATTTGAATCACGACGTCCTTGCACGGCCACAATCTGCTGTAATTCATGTCAAACTCTTATCAAGCACATACAGAGATACTCCACAGTTGTGTAGCTGATACCAAACTGTAAATCACACCGTGTTAGCATTCTTTTCCGCACAACACTGCTACTTGTTAAGCCTGTTTTCAGGGTAGTTACACCGTGCTGTGTCAAGGCTTAACCTCTCTTTCTGTCTTTGTTGCATCAGAATATATATATGTTGTATATAGAGAGAGAAGTAAACTGACAAAGATAATATCACTTTATTGAGCAGCTGATTATTTAAACATGTCTTGGATAGCGCTAATAGCTACTTTCTAACTGCTCTTGCCATTCGAGCGAATAACCAGCAAATAACTTTGATTTAAAATGCATTCTCTCCACCTCTCTGTTTCAGGACGGTAGCCTGTACCATGAGCTGAGCCAGAAGTGTGTGCAGGCGGTAGACAAGACAGAAAACGGGACCCCAGCCCCCTCACTCCAGCCCTGCTCCGACAGCCCGCACCAGAAGTGGTTCTTTGAGGAGAGAATGTAATGGTATCAAACTAGCAGATATTTATATTTTTCATTCAGGGCTGATATCCTGTGGAGGGATATGTTTTCCACACATTTTTGTGCCAGCTGGACTCAATGGACCAATTAGAAATGATACCGACAAGTACTTACTTTAAGTACTTTGTAAATATATAGGGGGATATTTTTTCTAGGATGCTGTTGCTGGGAGACAGGAGCCAACTGAAATATGCATTGTTTTTTCTAATCAAGAAGGCACTTTTACATGCTGATATTTTGCATTTTTTTCTCCTTTGCACACTTCTCTAGTAGGGCAATCTTTTAGCTCAACTTAGCACTTGCTTCACGCACACATGGACACTGAAACGTCTGTGTGTCGGTCTTAATGAAAATAACAGTTTTACATCTCTTTTAACAAACTCAAAGCCTCTCATGTGCTAGTGGCTGACATTTGCAGAGCCGCATCATCATGAGGCATTTTCAAAATGTTTCAACTTCTCCTGTAGAGGGGGCCAACGCTCCTCTCTGCAAGTTCCTCTCTTTTACTGTTTTCTCTCTTCGTAGAGAGAAAGTTGGAGAAATATTCAGGTATTTCGTTAGGAATCTTTTGAGTGCTTTATACTCTTACACACAGTGGCTTAGGAAAAGCCTTAAAGGGGACCTATCATGCAAAATGCCCTTTTTGATGTCTTTTATACATAAATATGTGCCCCCGGCATGTCAGGGAACTCACAAAGTGTCAGAAAATAAAACCCTCTCTCTTTTCCTCCGCATATCTCTGAAAAACGGGGCTACAACGAGCTGATCTAGATTTGCCATCCGATATGACGTTATTTACGTAATATCGGCACCCACGTGGTGGACCCACGGCCCTATCAGAAAGTTGCTATCAGAATCAAGGCCCGACGTGTTTTGGACGTAATATGGCCTTTGTTTACATTAGCAAGCATCGCTAACTCTCAGAGCTAACCAGTACTGGAGAGAGCACATGTGTGAAGAAGCAGGAAATAAAAAGGAACTCGCCTTGTGGTATAACCGGCAAGAGAGAAAGCCCTTGAGCTCCATACTGTTTCAGAAATAATCCTTGATGTGGTTTTGGCGTTTCATCACCGCAGCATTTATTTTAGACAGTATCTGCCGGTTCCCGCATAAGCTCCGCCCCCTCTTTTTTAATTTTTTTTTTAAAGCTTTATACCCCGAATCAGCACTTTAGTAACAGGAAGTGAAATAGAGGGATATGAGGCATGGCTAGAATGGGTGATCTGTTTGGTATTTTGAGCAAAACACTTCATAGAGATGTTTTTTATACATTTTTATATATCTGAGACCTATGCTATTGCCTAAATATTGCATGATAGGTGACCTTTAAATCACAGGCGTTATGCAAGTACCCAGTACTTCTTTAACTGAATCACCTAACTACTGATAACAGGAGACTCCAAGTCATTTTGCTTTTCAAATGAAACTTTGAGGTAAAAATGAAATTCGTCATTCGGGAGGTTTTGGCTTCCTTGTTTTCAACGTAATGTACTTGCCTCTGTCATGTGGTCTTTAAATGATTTGTAGCTTCAAAAGACTAAATCATAGCCATATTTTCTGTCATGTCGTGTCAACTATGTTTATTTAAAATATTTAATTTCTACATAAAACTAAATACTTTAATTATAAATAAGTGGGAATGTATTCACTTAATGATCATAAGTGCAAATTGCAATAATAACATCCTCTTCCCCATCTTAACTTCACACTTGAAGCCCATAGAGTGCCTTAATGTAAAACAAACTGTATCATTATAATTTAAGATATCACTTGAGGAGGATACTTTTGTACTGAATCTAAATGATGTCTCAGATATAATGAGTACGGAAGGAAGAATTGTTACAAAGCTGCTTACCACATGTATGTATGCTCCTACTGCACGCACAGGGACGATGTTTTCCCCCTTTGAGTGCACAGGTGTGACTCTGGTAGTTGTACTGATTTGTGCACACTGCCTCCTGCTTCCATCGGTCAGAACCAGACGGCTATAGATCTCCCTGTTGTTGCGGTCACTTGTGTGGCTCTCCCTCAGGCGATGCAGAGGGACCGAGGGAAACACAGCGGAGGAGGAGGAGGACACAGTTGTTGGTTGTCTCCAGAGCGCCGGGCTGCCAGATGGCGTCCTGATTGATTTTCTGGTCCTCTCCCAATTCTTTATCACCAGCTCTCCCTCTCCGTGTCAGAGGTGTGCAGCGGAGGACTTATCTTTTGGTCTCGCGCCAGCCCAATCCTCCTCAGATGAGCACTTGTTACTCGTCTGCTTGAGATTTGATTTATGAATGGAAGCCATCAAGAGTACCGTTTTTTGGCAGCAGGAGCAGATAATGGAGGAGCCTGAATGAAGCAATTTGTGACCTCTTCCTTACCATTAACCTTCACAAGCTGCTGGCCCCTTGCTCTCAAAGGAGCTTTGTTAGAAAACTATCCAACTGAAACATGAATGTAAACTCCATGAAGGATAAGTAGAAGATGGAAAAACACCATTTTGCCAGTCCCACAGTGGAATCAGAATCTTTTCATTTGCCAAATATTATGATTGTACAATTATGTGCATGAACATCGTAACATCTGTGCGTATGAGCTCATATACAAGCTTAAAGGGACAGCGCAAGATGTGCTTTACTGTATTTCACTCTCTTACCGCTCTGAACATATATTTAGTGCAGTGTGCAGGGCATTGTGTCATGTGATAGCTGAACTGTGTAGGATAAAAGGCACAAAAGACAATATTGAAAGACGGACGTAATTTGTGGGGTTGAAGTTCCCAGTAATCCATAAAAGCTTTTGCGGGCTTGTGAGTGCTACACGAGTGTGCAGACAGAGCTAGCTGATAAGTGGAATTGACCAAATGACTGTAGGAAGATTATAGCCAGCTCCATAGAGGGAAGGAGTTGGGCAGCTGTCTCGGCATTGTATAAATGTTTTTGGTGATAAAGCTTGATCTCATATTAACAGAAGAGTATCACATGCCCAGAAAGGTTTTAAAACAGGTGGTTCTTTAGGTGTCCACGGGCCCTAGCAAGACCCTGATATGATTTAAGACTTAAAAAAAGCTGCTTCATGAGTATTAACCATCAGAGATTGGATCAAACAGGAACAGGAGAGATCACCCTTTTAATATAGTGCTCATGCTTTATGTATTGAACACTTAAGAAGTGACAGCTTTTCCATTCCTATCAGTTTGTGTCTTTAGCCAGTGAGTGCAGTATAAATATTCTGTCTGTTATTAAAAGGGTTATTTATTGTCCCCTGTGGCCATCTGTTATGCCAGACATGTCGTCCGTAGTAAAATACAATTTACGCTGCCGTTATATTGTATGCTAATTTGATACGGGACACTTGGCTGCAATAAAACTGATATTCTCCAGTCGAGGATCATATCTCTCTGGCAGGTCATACAGTGCTTTTATATCAACTAAGCCCAGGTCGTAAACAGTTGTGACTTTCCATGGATCTGTGGAGCACTTGAACCTGTAAAGTAGCTGATTATCACCCAGCACTAATGGACCGTGCAGTGCTGCTTTCCAATACCGTGAACATATCTTCTGTTTATAATGATACAATTCCCAGTGGAGACATTTCAGTTGTGGTAAACATGCACAAATAATAATGCTGGAATTCAATATTGTGACTGGTGTAATAAAGCTGTCAGTAACTCAAGCGGCCTTATGTTGTAAAAAAGGAAGTGAAGGATGTGATTAACAATATTTTTGTGATAAATAAAGCAATAAACTGACCATATCTGATGTCAATGTATCCATTTAGCTGTTTTTAATTGTAAGTTAAGTAATCATAATGTTGAAAATGTGTTTTCTGCCTATTATGGGCCCTTTATTGCTCATTTTCAGGTTTCATACATGTATTCTGTGCCTCTACTGTGACATGTTACATGCTTTAATGTTCAAAAAGGTCTTCATTTTTCTCATGTGATGCAGCACCTCTTTTCACCCTCTGTCTCAAACCAGAGCCTAGTCTGTTCTGATTGGTTAGCTGGCCGGCTCTGTTTGTGATGTATCAACCGCTTATAGATGTCCCGCCCCTTGGCCTATCAGGTACAATGTGTTGGAGCCCTAGCCAGTAGAAGCAAAAGTGTTACGTAATGATGTCATTATATTACAGAAGCAAACAAAGGAGTCCAATGGAGGTGTTTCAGGCATGGGAGAGAAACTCCCTCTCGAGAGTACTTTAGGATTTAAGCCTTTGCAGACTATTAACATGCACAAAAACTTATATAAAACACTACAGGAAAGGGACAACCCCAAAAAGCATAATTGGGCCCCTTTAAAATGTGTATCACCACTGGAAGGCTTTGTTTCATGAAATGCAACCCAGAAAATACTTTTGCTCTCACTGTAAATCATTGCGTATCCATTTAAGTGTGACTCATCAGAGAAAAACAGGCTATCATCCACATATAGCTGCGATGGAGACGTGAATCAAGCTGCTCCGAGGGTAATGAGAGAAGAAAAAGAGAAATAGAAAAGGGGGGGGGGGGAGTGAGTTTTCCAGCCATATCGGATTGGTTTGATCACCAGCTGCTGAGTGAGATGGTGAAATGTGGAGCCAGCGCCAGGTCGCTCTGTTCCCCCTGGTGTTGACGCTCTGCCCTGCAGTCACTCTCAATTACTCACTGATGATGCTTTGCTGTGTGCTTCGTGGCATGTGGAGTGTGTGCGTCTTAGTGACAACGCCGTGGTGGACGGTGGATAAAAGACAGAGCCATAGAAGCTTTTTTAGGATGGTAAAAATAACATAAAAACAGCTGCCTTTTTATAATAGTATCGAAGGTGAGATTGTGCCAGCTGTTAAAGTGTAGCACGCTGCTGGAAATATTGAAAGGGAACATTTGCACTCGACATGAGACACGCTGGTTTCTCCCTCGCACAGGATGACATGCTCTGATGGAAAACTTGCCAGAAATCTTCACATTCTGACAATTGCTGCCTAGATGCTGCTTCCTAGGAATATGAGAGGCACTTCAGAGGGCTGTGATTCTCTAGCTCTGTCTCATCATAACCTATGGGTGCTTCTCTGTGTGATATGCCATACAAAATAGCAGAAAATATACTGATATTCAGCAAATGCGCCTACGGAGAGGCTGCAATCTGCACATAGCGTACGCCTACTTTTTGATCCAGTGTGACATACATGCAGCGCTGCGGTGCCCCACACCCCATATGTGTCTTTAATGATAATGCAGAACAAGTCTCCCCATAGTGCAAGTCTTCTGAGACGCTATGGCTGCAGTTGCCAGGGAGCGAGAGGAACCGTATAAGAGAGGCACACACTCTGACAGGAGGCCATTTCCACACTGCATATCTGTTTAGTTTATGTAATCCCCAATACCCAGAACAGCTCAGGAGCAGCGACTGTTGGCTGCATACATTAGATGACACACTTTCACTTCAGGAGGGACTCCAGACGGAGCAGTAAACATGTGAGGCCTAGATACAGAGATAGCATTGCATTTCTTATGCAGCGCCACTGCCTGGCTTCTGATTAGGCAGATCGTGTAGAGAATTAAGAAGTAAGGCTTCCCTGAAGTCTCTCAGTCGTTAAATTAGTTCAAATAACCATAAGTTAAAAGCATACAGTTCATCAGTCGTGTCTGAAATGCTGCAGTTTTATTTCATTGCATTTCCATTTGGTAATTTTTCCAGGAAGGAAAAATGGAAATGACTTTGGCAGCTTTTTACTTAAGGCATTCAGAATAACTGTAAATGTGAAAAGACAGGAACCATCTCAGATTTTCTTGTAAAAGAAACGAGAGATGACGAAAAATAAAATAATATATTTCGTAGTAGGATGTGAAACACAAAAGCCTCAATACCACTTGAGCACAGTAAGGAATAAAAGGGAACGTCTATAACACATTGAAAGAATAATCTGATCAAATGATGCAGTCAGACATT